TTTCTCTATTCCATAACCCACTAGAGACATTCACAAGCCTGGAGGGCACAGGAGAGGACAGTGCCCTGGGTCAGGAGAGCATCCAGCAGCCTTCTTGTACCAGGCAGCCCTACAACTCATGCTTAATGCAGTACCTGCAGCCCTGACCCCCACCAGCTCTCTGCATGAACCCTACTGCTACTTTCCAATGCAAGCAGCAGCCAAAACAGAGGCAAAGCTCATATCTCATCCAGCTGCTACTGACTTCCAGGCCAAATGACCAGGTCCCTGTTCAAATCACTCACTCCGCTTTATACATTGCTCTGTGCTGTCCTTTGACAGCATCTGATGAAGTGAGCTCGAGTTCATGAAAGCGCACGCTCTCTAAATATCTTATTGAGTTTGTCTATTAGGTGCATCTCTACCCTGCCTTCTGCCTGACTGCAGCAAACTACCTCTCTCAGGTCCCTACAGGCAGCAAGGACCACAGAGAAGACTATGTAGCACAAGTCCAGAGCAAAGCATAAACTCACACCTCAGCCACTGCAGGAAGACAACTCTTCGGTCTGGTACCTGCTCTGCCTCTGAACCCTTCTAGAGTGGATGAGGAGCCTTAATCAATTCCCCACAGCTGCGCCAGTCTTGCCAATCAGCACACACAGCATGATAGCCTTCTCACCAGCCAACCCTAACCCTTTGCCTGCCTGCCTGCCTTGTGGCAGAGCCTTTGCACCTGGTCACAGCCCCTTTCCTCAGGATGCAAACGTGTCACGAGTGCATTAGTACTCAGCAGTGCAAAGTCCATCCCTCCCAGGCCTGGGGAAACATGGTTGTGACAATGCTCAGAGAATGGGTGAATGGGGGTCAGATCTCACTGACCTCACTGCCAATGGCATCACACAGAGTAGCTGTATGGCACCAGCATATGATTCAAACCAGCGTCACAAGCTCTGTGCAGAACCTCATCAGCTAGGCTGAGTTGAGCTGGTACGATGAGCTGGCACCCACCAACCCAGAGCTCATTTATCACGGTGCTCATTGTGTCCAGAGTGGGGGGCTCGCAAGTCTCATTCCATGAGGCATTCAGATAAACCTAAACAGCTCCTGCACCCTTCAATGCAAAACTCTTGGTTTCATACCTTTAATGCATGCTTTGCAATAGTGCTATTCCTGATTTACACCCCTATGATCCAGCAGGCTAACTCATCTATTGCATCTAGGTCACCTTGGCCATGAAAAGGGCAATCCATTATTCTTTTGGGTATGACTTCCAGGGCAACTAATTGGTTCCCAGGGAACTTTTGGATGAAACATGAATACTCACCAGGACCACTCCAGAAAGGCATGTGGGACAAGTTCATTTGCATGTGTTACTAGAAAGCCCCCCCCACCCCTTACCCCCACACATCTCTGAAGCATTTGATGTAGGTGGCAGTGGAAAGGCCCTGGGGGACAGGGATGTTTACCACTCAGGGTGGAAGGCAGTGTGCACAGGGAGTGGGAGGAAAAACCATCTGAGGTACCAGGAAAGCAGCCCAAGGGGCAAATCCAAGATGAATCATTTATTGTGACTTTGCCATCAGCTCCCATCCCCTTTCATTTTCCTTTCATCCCTGCAACTTCCTCAAAGGATCAATATGGGCGCAGGGTTATCTGTCTCCTAATGATCTCCGGCAGTGTCTGCTCCAAAGCACAACGCGCTTTGTCAAAGCCCAGCTAATGGTGTTACAACTACAAGCGGCCAGGACCATGTGCAACAGCATCTACTCACAGTGGGGGTGGCAGTACCATGGTTCAGGGGATAAAAGGTGCAATGGAGCTCAGTCCTGAAAACACCCCTGAAAGAGACTGGTGCTGCTATTAAGGATTTTGTTTTTCCAAATTCCAAAAATGGTACCGCCTTCCTGTTTCCCTAAATGCACCCTGCTGTTCTAACTAAACACCGTAATGCAATATTTTAGTCCTAAATACTTGTGTGACCCTGTTTACAGTTAAAAAGCTGGTGCTTTCCATTTGAGAGGTGTTCACATTTCAATAATGGATGGTGTCCTTTATCTGCTGTAGAGAGATGGAGGTATGGATAGGTGCTTTTTTTTAAACAGCACATATGATGGATTGTGAGATTTGCAATTAGTCTTAGTAAAATGCTTTTGAGATGCTGGGATGAATGACACTACGAAAGGGCAAAGCAATATTAATATTCTCCCAGGGCTGGTCTATAGTGGTATGATCGTGAGGAACATTAAAACCCAATCAAATCCTGCATGTAAATGTATCAGCTCATCACTGCCAGCGTGCGACAGGCAATCCCCCTCCGTGAGCATCATTGCAAAGCTGCTGAGGTGCATTCTGGACTGCTCCGGGTTGTGGGCCCTCAGGAGTACCAGGTATGGGGACTGTCCGAGGCAGGTTGCAACACTGCTGAGAGCACTGCTCAGGCACCTACAGCCACTGCAGACAGCTTGGGGACTATTTATGTCCCGTGTTTACCTGCTGCACAGTGCACTCCAAGGACGGCTTCACCCAATGCCATCTCCCACCTCTCATTAGTAATTACAGCAGAAATGAAGTAAGCTTCCCAGAATGAGCTTGACCTACTTCATTTGATTGTAGGTAGAAAAATACATGTACTGTAGTCCCTTCCCACATGCATCCTATCCCCACTTTGCCCAGGGGACTCAGTGCTTCTCTGTAAAGACAAATAGAACTGATGCTACTATTATGTGCCTAATGGATTTGGACAATTATGCTCAATTAGAAGCTTTAATCACATTATTCTAGTGGCTACTTGTTCAGGAGGCCTCCTGGCTACCTTTTACCCTATCCGGTCACACAATGCTAGAGCAGAGCTTAATTTTATTTAGATAAACGGGCAACAGTGAGTGGGAATCATCCCAGAATCAAATCAGCATCCAGAAGAATGCTGGCAGCACCCTTTGATTAACCCTGCAGCAGATGTCTGATAAGTACTTCTAAGGCCCCCCAACACTATAGTATCTGGTCACCTCTCAAGTGCATGGTGCTTTATCTTCCCAAGAACACTACGAAGGAGGGAAGGATTGTAAAGCTTGTATCAGTGGGGAAACTGAGACACAATAAGGTGGAGTGACAACATGTGGTGAGTCAGTAGCAGGGCTGGGGACCAGACTCACATTTTGAGTCCCAGGCCAGTGCTGTAGCCACCAGTGCATCCTTGCCTCCTTCACACTACAGAACTGCTGTCCCCTTGGCGGTACCAACATGCTCCGGCACTGCTGGCTGGTTTTCAAGGAGCCTATGCAGTGCCTCCACTGAACCCCCAAACATTGAGGCACTAGCAGGGCCAGTGGAGCAGGTCAGGTACGTGGGCCAGCACTGATGGCACCAGTTTTGCCCCCAGCTTGTATATCAACCACTAAGACAGGCAGCATGCCTCCTGCTTGGGTAGAGAATGGCACGTGCAGACCCTGGCATCTCCTTCCTGCCAGTGCCATGAAACACTAAGGGGGGAACATACATAGAAGCCAATCCTGGTAGCCCCTTGGTGTGCCTATGCCTATATCCAAACTGAGTTGCTCACAGATTTGGTAGGCATGTGGTCCTAGGGGCAGGTCCCAGAGCAGTTCTGCACTAGGGCAGAGCCAGTCCAGCCTGCACAGCCCAGTGCTCCTCACCCAGGCAGGGAGTGGCCTTGCTGTGGCTCCACACCCCTCCGTTTGTGCAGCAGGGAAGGAAGGTCCTTTGCTGCAGCCTCCTCTGCAGCTCCTTTGGCTTCTGGCCAAAGCAGTCTGTTGCGTTGGAATTGCCTTTAACAGTAGACATTAAAAATCAAGGGCAGTACTGTGTAATCAGCTTCAAAGGAGACTGTTAGGAGGGAGGGAGGGTCATAGCTCACCCCTGCAACCCCACTCGGGAAGTACTAGCACCTGGTGGGATACTTCAGCTCCAGCAGCCTAGTGCTGGCAAGGACAGGCTGGACAGCTCCCACAGACTGGAGCCACAGAATAGGCAGCCCAGGCAACAAGAGCAGAAAGATAAACCCCACACTTGGAAGCATGAGTCTTTGCTCCTCTGACAGAAGGGATTAATGAGCCTGAGCTGCAGGGAGCACTACAATGGTTTTGAGTTTAACCTCCCTGGTGCTTTGGAGTTATCAGCAACCTTAAGCTACAGGGAGGGAGTCTGCGCTCTAACCTCAGCCCTACAAAGAGGGTCTCCAGAAAACACAGCAGCAGCAGGAGTTTTTCTCCAGGCTGTCACAAGGATGCCCTAAAAGGCCAAAAGTGTTGCAAACTCCTGCTGCAAAACATTTGCACATGGGAGCAAACCCCAGACCTCAGCCCTGATCCCCTGGCCAGGTCCAAGGGGAGGGCTGAGAACCAGCGCTGTGCAACTACCTGGAGGGAGTCCTGCAGAGACATGTGTTGCAAAGGCTGCATTGTGCCCTGCAGTTGTACCTAGACGCGAGTCCCTCTCCTGCCGGCAGCACCACTGCCCTGCTGGAAATGTTCGACAGAGAACAATCTGACCTGACAGTAATTGCTACCTGAGCAAGAGCTACTCCCTCCTTGCCCAGCCCCTGAAAAACCCTTCCACTGCACTACTCTCGTTGCTGCTCACCCACTGCACCAGGCATCCCAGACCCTTCTCTCCAGTGGGACTGGAGCAGATGTAGGGAGCTCATGCCTGAGGCACAGGCCTAGTGGGCAGAGCTGATCTGCAAGCAATAAAGGCCCTGATGTTGGTCAGCCCTTTGCTGCAGCCATACGCCTGTCCCGCTGCCACTGTGCCCACATGACCCTGCCCAAGTCCCTTCCCCATTCCCCTTGGCTTTGCAAAAGCACCAACCAGCTCCAGAGCTGTTATGCTGGGGGCCTCCTTCTTCCACTTGCCCAGGGTGGTGGGGGGCACTCCCCCTAGCTGCTTGGGGGGCAGAGCAGAGGCAAACACTAGGCTCCTTGAGGTCAAACTCACCATTTTATTGAAGGTAAGTGGGGTGGGGAGAACAGGCCATGCTGGGCAGAACAAAGCTGCTGGCCCACTCACTGGCCCTTGCAGTGTTCTGGGTGCTGGCTGAGTCCTAGCATCGTGGCCACCACTGCTTCATGAATGCTTTGGGCAACATAATCCATGTTGTGGGAGTTGATGCTGCACATGCTGACCTGGCCATCTGTGTGAAGGTAGACGTGCTTGTGCTTCATGAGATAAGCCACCTGGACAGCTGCTGGGAAATGGACACCACTGTGGGACTGCACTGAAGCCTTCTGCCAAGTGTAGCAGAGTGTGGCCAAGAGCAGGCAGGCAAGGAAGTATGGCCTTGTGAGTCCCCAGGAGTCCCCAGGTCCCTGGCCCTGGAAGTGGAGGGCACTCTGCACCCCTCAGGATCTAAGGAAAGGGGAGCAGGCAAGAGTTAGCAGCAGCCCCTCATCTCGCTGGCTAACAGTCCTAGCCAGCCCCTCCTGCGATACTTCTTGCATCGTGGTACAAGTGCCTGGCAGGTACCACAACATCCTGCTCCACAGCCCTGGGGGCAGAGGGCCCAGCTCATGAGCCAGGGCAGGGAATGGAGATGAGATGGAGGGTTTGCAAGTACAGGCTGTGGCTTCTGAGACTCACAGAGCAACTGCTCCAGCAGGGAGGCAACTTTGTCCCAGGCTTGGGCTTGCCAGCTCTGTGCAGAGGAAGCCCCTGGCTAGGCACTTACGGAGCAGCCCCATGAAGCTGTGTGTACCCAGCTGGGTGGTGATGTGCTCCCAGGAGCCTGGAGTGCCCAGGATCCGCAGCTTCTCCTTCAGCTTTGCCCGGATCAACATGATCTTCTCCGCCATGGCCCGGAGACTCTGCTTCCTGCAGGGCCGGAGATGGGGAACAGGGAGTTCACAGGGGGGAAAAGACCTGGAGTGGGGGCCTTTCCTGAGCCCACACTGACTCCGCAAGTCTAGGTAGGCAGTGTGCATGGGGCTTGGACTGGAGGGGCAGGTCCTGGGTGCTTTGAGTGGGCAGCAAAAATTGCATGGTGCGTTCAGGCAGGGAAGATTTTCTCCAGCATCCCCCACCCCAGAGCTGGCTGTATCATGCAGCCTGCAATCTGCAAAGCACCCTAGGATGCTCCAGGCCGGAAGACACCCTGGAAACACAGGGCTGTAACCTGGAGTCCTGAGTCTCCAGCAGCCTCCGTCTGCTCCAGATATCAACTCAGGGTCCATCCTGCCACCCTTCAGGGACCACCCCCTGCCCCTCCCTTACCACTTGCTGCGCAGGGCAGGGTTGTTGAGCACGGTGGCAATGACGCGGGCGCTGAAGCAGGTGGGGCTGCCCCACAGTGCTGCCGCCACCTTCTCCAGCTGGGACCGGACGCGGGTCAGTGCCACGTTGTCCCTCGCCACCACGGTCAGGTTCCCCACGGGCTCATCTGCCAAGTGACCAGGGCAGCATGGCACATTTGATGCGTGTCCCCTGTGCATAGAACAGGCACCACCGGGCCTGTCCCAGGCCAGCTTCTTCCCACCTCCTCCCTCTCCGCCAGATGCCACCAGCCCAGCCCCAACTACTCTGAGACTGCACCACAAGCATGCCTCCATTCTGCCTCCTGTGATCTCAATCACCCATTCCCCTGCACGCAGTGACACCTAGCGTCCATGCTTGGGCCCTGCACTGTGCTAGAGGGGCACTGGGCTGGCCGTACTCTCACAGGCAACCCTGCAAGCATTGCTCTGCTGGGAAGGAGAAGCTGTGGGGGCCTCGTGTCCCTGAGTACCTTGCCAGGAGCATTTTCAGCAGCTGCCTCACATCTGGCAGGAAGGTAATGCCCCATTTCCCTGCCCTCCTTTGGGAAGTCACAGCCAGCCCCTTTCCTCCCTCCACGGGCCCAGGGACGCACCGTACAAGCCAAAGATTCTGGAGAAAGACTGAGCACAGAAGAGCTCGAACCCTCTGGCCACAAAGTGCCGCAAAGCCCAGGCATCCTTGTTCAGGTCTCCGGAGGCCAGACCCTGCCCAGGGATGTCGAAGAAAGGGAAGAGATGCTTCCTCTGTGGATGCCGGGGTGGGGAGGGAACATGCAGTGAGGATCTGTCCACGTCAGGGACAGGGCAGGTGGCAGCAAGAGCTGGAGAATAGCTGTGTTGGCTTGCTCTCAGACTCACCTCCATGACTTGGGCGACTTCTTCCCACTGCCGCGGGGTCAGGCCGGTTCCCTCAGGACCATGCAGCAAAATGATGGAGCCTTCTGGTGAGCTCTGAAAGCCAGAGAGGAGCTCAGTGGGCAGCATGAGCAGGCACTCATGCAGTCCCTGTAGGATGCACACAAACACAAGTTTGGTCCAGGAGGCGCCCCACAAAGCTTGTCCCTACCTCCAGCACCTCCAGGAAGTCCTCCAGAGCCACATCCAGCCTCTCCAAATCCCAGTACAGGTAAGGACAGATATCTACAAAGCCAGCATCATGGAATATCCCCTGGAAAAAGTCTGCGGGACACAAATCATGGCATTCATAGCATGCAGAGATTAGGCACTACTCCTTTAATTAGTGTGTGGGCTCTATCCAGGGGCTTGCCGTGTTCTGCGCTGTAGAAGACATCACAAACCATGCAGAATGGCAGTGCATAGGCAGCAGGGCTCTGCATGCCCCTGTCCCTGCAGTGAACAAAGCTGACCAAGACCTATCTATGCCAATGAGAGCTCTTTCCAGTACTGGTGCTGTGTAAAGAGCGGTCAGCATCAAACAAGTCTCCACTCCAAGCTCCATGAGCTAGGCAGAGAAGAGCAACTGCCAGCTGCCTCCAAACCTTCAGTGGGGAAGCCTGTGTAGGGGAAGCCGGTGATCCCAGCTACCAAACTCTCTAAAAGTATCCCCTGCCCCCAGGACTAGACCTTCCTGTGGGTCATTCGAGAGGGTGGCAAGAGCCAGTCTCCACAGAGGGAGCGAGGAGACAGCATGCCCCCACTCACCTCCCTTCCCAGCTGCCCCTGGCTCACTGAGGAGTTCAGGGTTCAAGGCATTATTCTGGCCCCTTAACAGCCCCAGGCAGTGGGAAAGTGCGTGTACCATGGACCAAGCCCGGCCTTGGCAGCAGCACCTGCCTCAACCACATCACCCAGCTGCGCTGCAGCCTTGCACTTTCCATGTAGGCTCCTGCCACCCTACAGCAACTGCCTTGCTGTCTGTCACCCAGGTTGGCTGCTCCGGCACGTCACTCACCCAGCTGGTGCACAGCGATATAAACCCTGGCTGGGCCAGGGGTATGCTGACAGTGCCAGCGCCGCAGGAATTCAGCTCCGATCCGGAGAGCTCCAGTTACTCCCACTGTCTGAACACCACCAGCCTGACTCGCACGGAGACAAAAAGGAGTCACTTTCCCAAGCTCCCCCAGCACAGAGGCAGGGCCACTGCAGCTCCTTCAGTCTAGAGCCTGGTCTGCCTGCCTGAAGGCAAGTTGCTGGAAACAGCCTCCAAAGAACAGCTGCCATGACAAACCCTAGAAGCATGCAGTGCTGGGTAGGACCAGGAGGTTGGCAGGATGCTTCTTTGTCTACCCCATCCAAACTACCCTCCTCCATGAGCCAACAGCCCCACGCCAACCCCCACTCCACCAAGAGGCATATGGAGCATTGCTTCTGTGTTACCAGGTAAAGCCTGCACCAGAAAGCTAGAATAGAAGAAAAACCCATGCCCAGGCCAGGGATATCAACAGTAGCATCTGCTTTTATCGCGTCTCTCACCCCACTGCCCCTTCTGAAACACGGCAGGCAGCAGAACACAGAAAAAGGGCTTCAAAAACATAGTTGTTCCCTTTGGGTTTGTCTTTTTTGTTTGTTTTTTGTTTTTTAATTAAAGCTCCACCTGGGCTGCTATTTTCCAGCTGGAACAATGTGCATGTGTCCCTGGCTGATGTTGGTACTCTCAGCCCCCACTTCTCTCCTAGTGTGGAGAGAGAGCCTGAAGGTCAAGGTGCTACCAGTGTAGAGAGGTCCCTCAGACATCTGAGGATTTCCAAGGCCAAATCCTCTGCTTTCTAGTCCTGCCCACTTCCCTGGAGCTGACGAGTCCTGGATTTTAAATACAAATACCAGTCCTAACCCTGTGCATTGGGAGAGAGGGGAACACATGCATGTATTGTGTTAGTGGGGTTGTGCTTGGATTATGCTCCAGAAGTGCAGAGCTGCAAGGTGCACATGGATGGGGGTGATGTCCTGAGTTACAACAGCCCCTGGCTAGTCTGCACAGAAGGGCAGGGCTGCAATTGGGCTAGGGGTTTTGTATTGAACGCACCCTGCCATCCTTTCTGCAGGGCTCAGCCCTAATTGCCAAGTGGCATCAGAGAGAGAGCAGTGAAGATCTGAAGAACGCTTTCAGAGGAGCACCGACAGGCTGCAGGATCCGTACCCTGTTCTCGAGGATTGCCTGGCTCTCCCGACCGATCGCCAGCTCTGTGGCTGCCCTGGTGAACTCGGGGAGCCCACACACCGGGAGCTGCTCATAGTCTTGCGTAGGGTCCCCGGCCACCAGCTGCAGGGTGCGCAGCACTGTAGGGCAAACCCAAGCTTCACCTGTATCTATCCGACAGCCTGAAAAGAGAGAGGGTAGGCCCAGCCCCACGCTGGTCCGGGAGCATGCTGCTGCCACCTTCCAGCATCACTCCGCCAGCCCCAGCAGGGCAAACACCCCCGCTGCAGATGCTGCAGGGGAGCAAGGCTCATCACCACTGTGCTACGTCCTGACTCCCGCCCCAGCCCTTCTTCCATCTCCTTGCCTGGAGCTGCTGCAAGTTTTGCCCCAGGCACTTTTTCCAGTTTTCAACCCTTTTCCTTAGTTGCACATGGCCTGAATACTGTTGGGTGGAAGGCACTGGGGACAGGTGCCCTTTGCTTTGCCCCTAGGAGGATGATTGCGCACAGATAGCTGGTGCTCCAGCCCCGCTCTGCAAAGGACCCATTTGCAAGGAGTATTCTCCTTTCAGTCTCTGCAACTCTGCCATTCAGCACTGACAGCCTCCCTCAGCCCCAGCTTGCCAGCACTGCCCTTGCCCCCTAACCCCACTCCCAGTTTGCTCCCTGGAAGGTGGGACATTCATCTGCCTCCTGTCTTCTGTGCTGCCCCATCCATGAGAGCCCTGGGGTCAGTCCCACGTATTGCTTTGTGCCCCCCCACCCTGCACCAAAGCAGCACTCGACCCTCAACAGGGATCGAGCGGCGTCCCTACCCCGGCAGTCCAGATACACCTTGTCTGGAGAGGGGTCTTCCATGTAGGCATAGAGGAGCTCATGGGCTTCCCTGGTGAGCGGGACATCGAGGAAGAGGGACAGAGCAGCCATGCCCCAGCCAGGTGAAAGCAGGCAGGACAGGCTTTGCTCTTCACACCTCCAGCCCCGTGGGCACCCAG